CCTCATTTTTCCGACTGATTTAATTCAGCATCCCTAATCTATGTTCATTGATTTCTCTTCCTTTGTTCCTCATCTATAATGCCTTTTTTCACTTGTGATTTGTTTATTTTATTATTGAATCTCTCTATTAATTTTCTATTCTATTAATAGAGGTAAATAAATTGTGTAATACTCTATTTTTATGATAAAACAACAGAGTTCCCTTTTTCCTTAGTTCTCTATTCCATTTTGTTAATTTTAATTCTATTTCCTAGTAGTATGGTGGAAAATGACGAGAAAGGAAAGTGGCTTATGTCGACTCCTTGATGAGTACTCGGTAGTGCTGCCCATCACGTCGGCTTTATTTTTAAGAAAATTTTTTATTTACCCTTTAAACATTGTTATTTTTTATTTTAAATTTTTTTTAAATTTAAAATTTATATAAAATTTAAAAATTAACTTATAAAGTCTCTATTTGTTTTTTTTAATAGTGTTGATTAAAAGAAAAAATTTTAAAAGATATTAATTAGAAAAAATAATAATATTTAAAATATAAATATTAAACAATAATCTAAACCCAAGGTAATTCTAGTACTACCAAAAGAATAATAATTATTTGTTTATTTAACAATGAAATAAACCTAAAAACTACTCAAAAACAAAATATATCATATATCATTTATATTAACTTTCTCATTGCCCTGGCCACAATTTTCTTTTTGTATTTGATAAACATTCCAGTAGCTTAGATTAAAAAATAGATAAAATAGATAAAAGTTGTTTTTTTATTATGCCATCAAAATAAACTTGGAATTGCATTTTCATACCCACATTTTTGTTCCTTTCCCAAGCGGTTTTGATATGTTGATTTCACACCGACATCAAATTGACTTCGTGCTCTTAATTTGCTGGAAAATGTCGATGAAAGTATACGGCAGTTTGAGATTAACTTAAATCACCTTCTACTATAAGTATCGAAAGTTCAGGGATAAAACTAGTATTTAAGTCTTATAGTAAATTTTACAACAATCTCAAATTGATTTTGCTTGATCTGCATGTGTTCATGATTTATAAAGATATTTTTGTCTTTT